GCTGTGATTGGCTGCACTCCAGCCTGGGCAACAGAGCTAGACCGTTTCAAAATAAGTAAATAAATAAAATATATTAAGAACTTTCAGTCACTTCCCATTTCTTGGAGTCTAAATCCGCCTTAGAAGCGCTCCAGCCTCGTTGCGGCACATTCACTGGAACTCTTCTGTGATTACCCAGACTGCTTGTGTCCCTGGAGCACACCCTCGTGCTCCTGTGCCCACTCCCCTCATCCTGGGAGACACAGCTGCAGGGACTCTCGCAGTTATTCTCAGCTTGCCTTCCTCTCATCCCAGCTTCTCTCCCAACTCCTGGCAGATCTGGGCCCACTTCCTAGTTCTTACAGCTGTAGTCATTCTGCTTCTAATGACCAGAAGCCTATGTAAGGGCAGGGGTGCCCCTCATCTCACCGCAGCGCTGTGTCTCAAGAGCAGTGTGTGCTCAGAAATTGTTGAAGTGGCGTTGACTAAAACCTGGAAATCTAACTTCTGGAGGAGCCTTAAGGATAGGCTTGTAAAATCCAGAGCATTTTGTATTTCTTTCCAGGAAGTGCCTGTCTTTCCAAAGCTCCTACTGGCTTGTCCTTATGCTAAGCCTGCTGGCCTCACGTTTTTCAGCGAAGCAAGCCATGTTTTATTGGGAGCTTCAGCACTACTGATCAATTTCCATGACTAATGCGATGCGAGACACCTGCTTGGTTTTTTTTCTTGGGTTTAAGCATCTTCTCTCCCCGTGAACTGGCATAGGATATGTTTTGAAATACCTAATTTATATTATGGTCGCCTGACTGTCAGACTTGAGGGAAAGGTAGGAAAACTGTCCCCAAAGGCAGGCCTGGCTCTCGGAAGTACACTTTTTAGCCCTCTGTGAGCTGGGAGGCAGCATGGTCTGGGGGGAGAACTTGCTGTGGGGGCTGTCTCCTATCCTCCCCAGTTACTCATGGCAGGGCCCTTGGGCAGACTCTGAAGCCTTTCTCAGCCTTAGTTGCCCCACCTGTAAAACGGTGCCTGGTAAGATGAGACAGCTCGCATAATAAACTTTTAAAATAGTACCTGGAACCCAGTAGGCTTTCACAGGCTAATTTACCTCAAATCCTTACTATGGCCAAATAACCTGCCTGTTTTCTCCCTCTCAGGGAAGTAAGCTAAATTTGTAGCTCTTACTCATCTTATACAACTGTCAGATTATACCAGACAAGGGAATTATAAAACTTAAGTAAATTTTGTTTGTTCCTCTCAGCTCAAAAAACTGAATTTCATGTGGGGATTTTAGTGGTTGCTGCATATGTCTATTGCAATTATATATCCTGAAACTGGGGAAATACCCACAGTTGTGGTTGGGGTCGGGGGCCCACTGTGAGTTGGGCCTGAGCTAAAACTCCATGGATCACCTGCCCTCCATCAGTCCTGTTCTGACTGGTGGACCGCAGTGACACTTTGGTTCTTTGGGAATTGGTGTCTTTTTGGAACTAGTGTTCAGTAATCCACTAAAGTTTCGTTACTTTCCCTTCCTCAATGCACAGGCACCTTGGAAATGACTGTAGGTCTCCCTGGGGAGGCCGGAAGACTGAGTAAGAAATCTAGTCCCCCGACCTCAAAACATCTGCAGAATGTGCCAGCATTTCTCAGGGTTAAGTAGAAGAGTTAAGCCATAGATTGCTAACCAGGATATCTGGTATAATTTAACAAAAACTAAAATAAAAATATGAAACTAGGGCCTTGGCCGGTCAGAAGAGGGAAGTTACTGGGAAATCAGGTGAGTGTAAGATAGATTGGCATTGCAGCTAGCCTTAAGGTGCACATTTCAATTGTACCTGCAGAGATTGTGGGGGCAGCAGGCCTAGGGAGAGGGATCACTTCAAATAGGAGTAGCCTGGTCTACCTAGAACATGGGTTTCAGCTGTTACAGCCTAAGAAGTGTGATGTCTTAGATGGAATAATCCACTTTTATTCGATGATCTAAATTTCATCTTTTGCCTAACATGTAAAAACTTACTTGTATGGCCTACAGCACTGGGATTATTGAAATCGATGACTTCCAAGGATTTGGTTGGGGTTGGGTGGAAATGATGATGTTGGTGATGGTCAGTGGTTCATTTCCCCAAGTTCATATCTGACTTAATTCACAGTACTCATGTGGTATACTTTCATTATCTCATTTGATGGATGTGAAGACTGAAGTACCAAAAAGACTGAGGCTCAGAGAGGTTCAGGGACTTGCCCAGGGTTCTAGCCATCTTTTCATCACACCTCAGTCTCACTGTATTTTCCTTGCTTCTCATGAAGTAAGTCCACGGGCCCTTCCTGCACAAAGAAGTACTTTTGAGGCTGGGTGCTATTGAGAAGCTGGGGCTATTGAGGCCGCTGCACCCAGCCTCAAAAGTACTTCTTATGGAAGTACGTTGGGAAGCCAAGGCGGGAGGACCACTTGAGCACAGGAGTTAGAGGCTACTGTGAGCTATGGTCGCACCTCTGCTCTCCAGCCTGGGCGACAGAGTGAGACCTTGACTCGTAAAAATAATAACACTTTTGTATCTGGGATAAAGAGCTGCGCTTCCAGTTTTCCATTCTGTCATACCCACTGTTGCTGAGTGTGATTCTGAGAATACTTCTTCCTGTCCAGAATTTTCCTCTCAACAAACAGCCCCTCCTGTAGCATCTCCTGAGTCTAGCTCCTTCCTCAGAACAGCTCCTCAGTCCGAGGGTCCAGTCTCCCCCAACCACTCACAAACTTTGGGGTCTTTTTTTTTTTACCGTTTTTTCTTTCCCTGGATTCTCATAACCTGGACTTAGATTATAGTCTGTTTTGCAGACTTGTTTTCTTTTTCCTTAGGTTGCCATAGTTACTAACTTTGTATATAAAATAATCATCATTCCTCTTTATTCTCCCACCAGAAGTTTCAGTGTTTTCTGATGTGACCTTTGCAAAGGGAACTGGATGGCTTTTTAATCTTTTCCTTTCTGGTTCTACCTCTAGTACACATTTCTTGCTCTCCTTTTTGTGGGTCGTTAGCATCTAGCTTGACTTGCGCTTCAGATTGATGCTTCATTGTGCAGTATTTTTACATAGAGGGCCTCTGCCCATGACCTAGATAGAGGATTATGAGAGGGGAAATAACTGATTTGAAAAGAACAAAAAACATCTGCCCTAAACTGGTTCTACCTGTGTTACTTTGATTGTGAGTAATATAAGCAAATAAATTATATAATTACAAGGGAAGTGAGGTCTATCCGATTGTGATAAAAAACCTAAAGCTTTTGCTTTTTTTTTTTTGTTTGTTTGAGACAGAGTCTCGCTCTGTCGCCCAGGATGGAGTACAGTGGCCGGATCTCAGCTCACTGCAAGCTCCGCCTCCCAGGTTTACGCCATTCTCCTGCCTCAGCCTCCCGAGTAGCTGGGACTACAGGCGCCGGCCACCTCGCCCAGCTAGTTTTTTTTTTTGTATTTTTTAGTAGAGACGAGGTTTCACCGTGTTAGCCAGGATGGTCTCGATCTCCTGACCTCGTGATCCACGCGTCTCGGCCTCCCAAAGTGCTGGGATTACAGGCTTGAGCCACCGCGCCGGGCCCAAGCTTTTGTTTTTTACGTCACATCGTCTTGGTCCAACCCAGAACTCAGACCACTGGCTTTAGTAGACTGTGTGCCTTGGTAATTTCAGGGCCGTTTGGGTTAGCAGAGTCTCACCCAGATCACTGCTTTTCTTTATAATAGAGTAAATGACTAGTAAAAGGAACCCTCTGCCAGAAGCTATCTGAGGAAGTGCAGTCATTTTTGGTAGGATGGATACTCCATACTGGGGCCAGAGAGAGGGTTTCTCTTCAGGTCCTGGCTCAGTTACAAACGACCTTGTGACCACCCAGAGCAAGGCAGCACATTTGCAGGCCCAGCCTCTCCTCATCAGTGAGATAAAACATCTGCCTTCTTAGACTTAGCTTCGGGAGCAGTTGTAGTCATCAAACAACATCCACATAAAGATTCACTGGACTGTCAATTGCTTTATAAAGAATATTGAGATTTGCTTGGAGAGGCTGGTTACCAGCTTTCCTAGAGTTTCAAGCCCACACAATTTAAATCTTATCTTGTACATCGACTTTAGACTCTGCTGTTCCCACCAGCCTTCCTATTGACACCTTTCTGGTCTTTTCGTCCCTGTGTTCCATCATCCATTCCATCTTTCAGCCTAGAATTACCTTCCTGCTCCCCCACTGATCTACTGCCTGCCTTTTTACAGGGTAAGTTCAGTCCTGCCCCCTCTGACACCTTTAGATGTGGTGGCTCCTGCCCCCACTTCACTGTTTGTAGGTGTTGACCCTGATGGAGATGTACGGCTTTTGATGGTTGCTGCTGTGGATACCTGTCATCTCCTTGAAACTAAGCCTCATAGAGACAGGGCATGTTATGTAGCTAACTTGTGCTAGGCATATGGTGGGCTCGCAGAAAATATTGATGGATCGGAGTGTGCCTCTGAAGTAAACCAAGGAAATTGTAGGAACGTGCCTCTGAAATAAAGGAAATGGTAGTGCCATTCGAGGTACATTAACAAGAATCCTTCTGTAAGTCAGGAAAAAAAAGAGGGAAGGTCATTTGCTCAGCATGGAGTAACAATGATATTAGAAGCAACAGACCCGTGACAGCCTTCTTGCATGCTTTTCCTTGTCCCATCTGCCCAGCAGCCTTGGGAGGTGTGGGTGGTATGCCAGTGCCTGTTTGGAGACAGTATAATGAAACAAAAAGGCTTTGCGGTCCACCAGACAGCAGTAAAACCTGAGTTTCCACCTGGGCCTCATTCCAAACCCAGGTGCCTGACACCAGTCCCTGGTGCCCATGTCATACCTTGACTTGTTCTGTGTGAGTAGAAAGGGACTCAGTGCCAGTTTTGCGGGTCCCCTTGGAGCAGTTGTTTGTCACCAATGTCACTCTTGAATACACTGCGTCCTTTAGTTCAAAAGAAGTGTGACTATGTCCATCTCACTCAAGCGCCTTCCTGTCTTCTTTGATTTAGGAGAAAGGATCCTGGGTTATGCTGAGGAGCCCTGCTATCTCTGGTTTGTCATGGAGTTCTGTGAAGGTGGAGACCTGAATCAGTATGTCCTGTCCCGGAGGCCGGACCCAGCCACCAACAAAAGTTTCATGCTACAGCTCACGAGCGCCATTGCCTTCCTGCACAAAAACCATATTGTGCACAGGGACCTGAAGCCAGACAACATCCTCATCACAGAGCGGTCTGGCACCCCCATCCTCAAAGTGGCCGACTTTGGACTAAGCAAGGTCTGTGCTGGGCTGGCACCCCGAGGCAAAGAGGGCAATCAAGACAACAAAAATGTGAATGTGAATAAGTACTGGCTGTCCTCAGCCTGTGGCTCGGACTTCTACATGGCTCCTGAAGTCTGGGAGGGACACTACACAGCCAAGGCGGACATCTTTGCCCTGGGCATTATCATCTGGGCAATGATAGAAAGAATCACTTTTATTGACTCTGAGACCAAGAAGGAGCTCCTGGGGACCTACATTAAACAGGGGACTGAGATCGTCCCTGTTGGTGAGGCGCTGCTAGAAAACCCAAAGATGGAGTTGCACATCCCCCAAAAACGCAGGACTTCCATGTCTGAGGGGATCAAGCAGCTCTTGAAAGATATGTTAGCTGCTAACCCACAGGACCGGCCTGATGCCTTTGAACTTGAAACCAGAATGGACCAGGTCACATGTGCTGCTTAAAATTCAGGGCTAAGCATTTTGGGTGATTTTAAACTAGGTGAGTGCTTTCTGTTGTTGTTTTTTTGTTTTTGTTTTGAGACAGGGTCTCACTCTGTCTATCAGACTGGAGCGCAGTGGGTGCAGTGGCAGGATCTCGGCTCACTGCAACCTCTACCTCCCGAGTTCAAGTGAATCTCGTGCCTCAGCCACCCGGGTAGCTGAGATTACAGGCATCTGCCATCATGCCCAGCTAATTTTTGTATTTTTAATAGAGAAGGAGTTTCACCATGTTGACCAGGCTGGTCTCGGACTTCTAACCTCAAGCGATCTGCCAGTCTCAGCCTCCCAAAGTGCTGAGATTACAGGCGTGAGCCAGCATGCCCAGCCTCCCTTTTTTTTTCCTGTGTGCCCGCTTCTTGTACTGGGTTCTTCATTCTGGACCCTGGGATGGGCCCTGTGAAGTTGGGGGGGACTACAAAGTTGAAGAAAACTAAGTGCTTCTTATCAAAGATTCCCCCCCATGTCTTGATGGGAGAAATGTGCAATTATCTGAGTACAAGTTGGAAAGTCTAGAGAAGTCTTCTGAGAGGAGGTTGCGTTTAAGCTGAATCTCCCTTTTTTAAGAAACACTCTTTCTCATCATTATAAATGCTCACTGTAGAAAATGTGCATAAGAGGTAAACAGTTTTTCAGAGAATAAACGCTACCTCTAATTGTATCCCACCTACTCACACATCCAGTTCTGCATAGTTTAGATCTTGCCCTAGCTGGTTGAGGTCTTTCTCTTTTTACTCATTACTAATCTGAGCATTCCTCCATGTCGTACTTTAAAAGTATGGCTTTTCAGGGACGGTGTGACATTCCCGTTATATGTACCATAATTTAACCATTCTCCTACTTTAGAAAACAGATTTTTTCCATTTTAGATACTATAAAGAATGTATTAGTGAATATTTATGTAGAAGTCTTTGCTTATTTAAAAAATTTATTCTGAGGTGGGCGGATCACGAGGTCAGGAGATCGAGACCATCCTGGCTAACACAGTGAAACCCCGTCTCTACTGAAAATACAAAAAATTAGCCAGGCGTGGCGGCAGGCGCCTGTAGTCAAAAGAAAGCTACTCAGGAGGCTGAGGCAGGAGAATGGCGTGAACCCAGGAGGCAGAGCTTGCCATGAGCTGAGATTGCGCCACTGCACTCCAGCCTAGGCAACAGAGAGAGACTCCGTCTCAAAAAAAAAAAAAAAAAATTATTGTGAGCTTTCCTTTGTCAAGTACAGTCATGCTCCGCGTGAACAACGTTTTGGTCAACAAGGAATGGCATATTATATGGTGGTCCCATGAGATTATAATGGAACTGAAAATTTCCTGTTACCTAGTGATGCAGCTGTTGTAATGTTACAGTGCATATTATGATGCAGTGTGTTACCTTTTCTGTGTTTAGATACATGAAAACTTACCATTGTGTTGCAACTGCCTATAGTGTTCAGTACAGTAACATGCTGTACAGAATTGTAGCCCAGGAATGATAGGCCATACATGTCATCTAGGTGTATAGTAGGCTACACCATCTAGGTTTGTGTAAGTACACTCTTGACATTACACAACAGTTGCCTAGTGACTCATTTCTCAGAGATCGTTAAGCAGCCCATTGTTCAGCAACCCATGACTGTACTGTGCTAGGCTGGGGTGACATGATAAGCCAAATCAGAGACTTTCCGCGTCTTCATGAATTCTGCATCTTAATTAGGGAGAGAAACTCCAAGTTGAACTTGGTTTCATGTGTAGTATTCTCAATGAAAGTATTTTTGTAGTGAGTCACTAGGTCTGATTCTTCCAATCATAATTGTTTTATAGCTGTTTGAGGAGAAGAGGTATTCAGGGAAATTGATCTTTCGGGTGTTGATGCACAGAGTCAAGAGGAGGGAATTGGGGGTGAGGGAGCATCCCAGACAGACAGACCAACCTCTGCAAAGGACCTGAAACCAAAGGGAGCCTGGCACATTTGAGAGACTAGACCAATTTGGGTTAATGAGGAATGTAGACGTGGAAATTAGAGAGGACAGGGAACAGTGTAGACAGAAATCGAGCTGGAAAACCCAAAGGTGTATTTATAGGAACAGCAGAATAGTTCAATTGGACTGAAGTTTAATGTATGTGTAAGAGAAAATTGACCAGCATATATGCTAGGTAGTTTCACATGTACCATTTTGTTTCACCTTTACAACCTTGCAAGGGATTAAGTAATTTACCCCAGATCCTACTAAATTAAGGATGAGTATATCTTATTCAAGCATCCCCCACCCCCTTTTCCCTTAATATGGTAAGCTAGAAGTAAGCTGCTCCTACACTGCCGGTCTTGATGAGGTGATGGAGCTAGTGCTGATCTCCTAGTGGTCCCAGGGAGCCTTAGGAGCCATAAGGCACGGAGCTTTCCATCACTTGGGTGGGTTCCCTCCCTTTCCCTTCATTATCCTCTGGTTTCTAGGTGGGGTTGGCTCATACCAAGTTGAGCTTGGTTTCGTGTGCAGTGTTCTTAGTAAATGTATTTCTGGAGTGAGTCACTTAGGTTTAATTCTTTCATTCCACAAACATGTATTCCAGGTGCTGGGCCAATTGGTCCTACCACCCGTGGGTAGGAGAACAGCACTCCCCAAAGCTAGGTTTAGGGTAGTGCTATATTAGAAACCGAAAGGGTTGGCTAGACAGTGTTTTCAGTGTATTTTGTGCTGTCACTTCCCATTTCCATCGCATCCTTTCTGCTTTTGAAAGACCTCTTAAAATTCAGATTTGCTCTGGCGTAGGAAGGTTGTCCTTGGAAGAGGGACTTGAATTTAGGTTATGATTATGGGGTTGTCATAACTAATTGAGATCAGGGCTTCCATTTGGATATCCACACTTGAGATTTGTGCTGTTTTGCAGGGCAGAGTTTTGGCTAAATTGGAGTGATTGCTTCATCTAGGAGAAACAGGTGACCTTGAGAAGAGGGGGAAAGATTAGGAATATGGTTACTGGTGAGTTCCCAGGCTGTTTTGTTAATTCATTTTGTGGCTTTTATAGCTAATCTTTACAGTACTAGTGGTGCCAATTTGACCATAACCTATCCTCCCCTGTCTTAGGTGGGCACTTAGAATTGTGGGTCTGGGCCCAGGTCTGTGACCAGAGCCAAACCCTGTGTTGCCAGAAGCTTCAGATCAGTTGTGTAGATGAGCTGTATCTGACTGATCAGAGAATCTGAGGCTTGATTCGGGAAGAACAAAAGAGTCTGACCTCCCTTTCTCCTGCCAAGTTTTGTAGATAGACAAGCTAATTTCATTTATTCGTTCAACATGTTCTTTGGAAACTATTTCCAAGTACCATTTTAGACACGGTGAACGAAACAAATTTTTGCAGTGCGGAGCTTAACATTCATTCTATTGGGAAGACAGACAGTACCCATAGGTAATGTACAAGAAAGTGCTCCGTGCTGGGTGCAGTGGAGGGTAGGGTGAGAAGAGTAGAGCAGGGTAGGGGAGATATGAAGCTTGGGTGGCAGGGAAGGGTGGGGTTGTACTTTTAAATGGAAGATATCAGAGTGGGTCTCCCAGAGACAGTGACCTTTGAGCGAATGTTGGAAGGAGTTGAGGGAGTGAGTCGCAAGGATTTCTGAGGAAAGAGCATCTCAGACCGAGGTAATGGCCACTGTGAAGGTCCTGAAAGTTGGCTAGAGTGAGCAAGGAGTGTATAGGAAGAGATAAATAACAGGAACCAAGTAGTAGGCCTCGTAAGCCTCTGTAGAGATTTTGGCTTGTGTTTTTGGGTAAGAGGGAAGGCCATGGGGATGTTTTCAGCTGTGTGGTATCTGCTCTTTTGAAAGGATCACTTTGCATCTTGAAATAACGGGCCAAGGTGGGAGGCTGTTGCAGTAATCCAGGTGAGAGATGACGATGGCTTGAAATAGTGGAACAGAGAAGTGATTATTGGATTTTGGGTTTTTTTTTTTTTGAAGTCAGAGCCGGCAGGATTTCCGGCTGGATCATATGTGAGGTATGAGAGGAATTAATCATCACTTCAAGGTGTCAGCCTAAGTGATTGGAAGAATATTGAGCTGCCATTAAATAAGGTGGGGAAGGCATTGGGAAGAATAGGTTTGGCAGGAGAAAGTTAGGTTTTAGTTATCTGAAAGTTTGGCATGCCTATTTAGAATCCAACTACAGGTGTAGAGTAGACAGTTGGATGAGTCTGGAGTTCAAGGGAGGGGTCCAGCCAAGAGATACAAATTTAGAGATTTGCCACAGTACTGGAGTGGGTAAAAGACGAGGAGGTCAGAGGAGTGAGGTCCAGGTGATGCAACATTGAGGGTGGGAAGAAAGGAAGGAGCCAGAGAGAGGGGAAAAAGACATCAAGAGGAGGAGGGAGCCAGCTGTGGCATCATCTGCTAGTTTATTGAGTGAGAGGAATTGCCCGTTGGATTTAGTAAATGGGAAAGCATCAGTACTTATGAACAATTTTGGTGGAGTAATGGGGAAACCTGTAACTAGAGTGGATTTGAGAGGGAAAGAGGAGAGGAATTGGAGACAGTGAGGGAATAGACCAGTAGTTCTCAAAGTTTTTGGTCTGAAAGCCTCTTTACATTTTTGAATTTACAGACTCCAAAGAGCTTTTGTTTTGGGTTATATCTGTGGATGTTTGTACTATTAAAAATTAAAATAGGCTGGGTGTGGTAGCTCATGCCTTGTAATCCCAGCACTCTGGGAAGTTGAGTAGGGGCAGATGGTTGAGCTCAGGAGTTTGAGACCAGCCTGGGAAACATGGTGAAACCTGGTCTCTGGTAAAAATACAAAACTTAGCCAGGTGTGGTGGCACATGCCATAGGCCCAGTACTTGGAAGACTGAGGCATGAGAATCTCTTGAACCAGGGAGGCAGAGGTTGCAGTGAGCCAAGATCGCACCACTGCACTCCAGCCTGGGCGACAGAGAGGGACCCTGTCTCAAAACAAAATAAAACAAAACAAAAAAAACAACAAAAAACTCTAGTTGCATAAGTAAACACACTTGACCCCTATACCACCATGATGAAA